ACTGGGTGTATTTAGATTCTCGCATGTTTCAGTAAAAGAAGAAGTTGAATGATGTGGTTTGGCCGTTACGGGAGCAGGTTCAATTAAGTGGATATTATGATATCATGACAAGGGAATTAAAAATGGAATATCAACGATATTTTCCATTAAGAACTAGTAAACAGCAATGAACATTAAAAACTGGTAAAAAACAATATTCATTGGGACCTGGTAAACAACAATCTATCAGTCACTGCTTGTCTCCAGGTCGAAAATTTCAATGTTGGTAAGCTGCAACAGCAACTGACATTGATTTTAGGAAAGATCATTACTGTGATATATAGCCTCATCCACCATTACCATTCACAGCTAGCACTCTGATGACCACTTGCTCCAGTACTATGAATCATAATGACGCTCTTAGTTAACAAAACCTTAGGTTAAAGTAAACAGAAATAGGGAGGAAATCTTTTGGCATCATGCAGTTCGCGAAGAACCCAAGGATCTACCAATTTTCATTGATACAGCGTCTCAAAAATGAAACGAAGTTCATACATTCTAAGGTTTCATTTTATTGAAGGTAAATTCTTCGTTATTTCGTTAATCATGAACAGTTTTTAAACTTACATGATTACTAGAGTACTTCTATCGAGTAAGTAATTCTACACTAGAAAATTGGGAGTAAAATGCTTGATTCATGCTGAAAGATAGAATAAACAACTTATGAATATTGGTTTAGATTATAAATTGCGTAGTGCAAAAAAAAAGCATGTAGTCTTATTTTACAATCAACTGTGTTTACGGGAATTTACCGGGAGCATGATAATGCACCCTACGCAGCCATGCCTGGCTCTCGGTGGTTCAGCGTTCGATAAATTGATGTCAATTGAAGTTTGGTCTCGTGAATCGTTTTCTTCCACAACTCCGTAGAAACGGTTCGCTCACACAGACTATTATATTCCTTGACGGACATTGTAACGTAGTAAGCTGGAAATTTTCTGCTGCTTGCCAATAGACCGCTAATATCAAGCGTGACTAGCTCTAACATGGGCGTTACATTTTCGGTAGCCGTAGTTAAGCTGCTGATCTCGGCTGACGTATTGGCTCCTCTCTTATGGGATTTTAACTCCAACGCCAGCCGCCAGGGGCCCAGGCCCCAGGGCAAGTTATTAGTTATTGCGTGCGATAGTGTTGATATTCGAATGCATTGCGAAATACAGTGATATAAGTGAACATATTGATTTTTCAAACTTAGTTATATACTCTTTGTTTTCTGTTTTTTACGATCACGCGCATTATCTCATAACTCCTAGCTCAAGCTCTCTCTTTACGCATTAGGATTGCCACTCGTAGCTCTCTCTCGTGTCCGGTTTGCAAGCAGTTGTTTCAGAGGACCAGATTTGCTATTGTTTTAGTTTCCCATATCGCATCCGTTTTGTATGACGACCCGTTCTGAATTATTACTTTAATAATTTGCTGTTTATCCTTAATATATTAACTTTAGCTTATCATTGACTTTTCAAATCCTGTCAAGCCCAAGTCTTGCCTACGGAACCAATGGCAATAGGCAAGTTTCTTAAGGTGCTTGTACACGGGGATAGTGCAGACGGCTAGTAAATCTGGCTAGTGTCGGTCGCTTGGTGACTATCCGTTTTGTATGACGACCCGTTCTGAATTATTACTTTAATAATTTGCTGTTTATCCTTAATATATTAACTTTAGCTTATCATTGACTTTTCAAAATGGAAAACATTATACTTTAATTCATATTTTTTGAATATTTCAAAGAATAATTGAATATCGTCTGGAATCCACTTTGTTGGATTCCTCTTAGAAACATTATCGTTCAAACAAGCCATGATTCACGTGACCCAAGATACTTTACAGGAGCGGCACAGATACTCTCACCATGGCTGCATCAGCGCTACTAGCCACTTCTCCAGCCAAGATATCAACACATCGTTGTCTCTCTCGGCGGCGTCTCGGGCACTTGCCGGCGCATGCCTCTGAAGCGGCTGAACCCCTATACACGAGGCTAGTAGCGCGGACAGTTCAAGCGCCGGATGAACTAGCGGCTAGTCCTATCCCTGTGTACAGGCACCTTTATAGTTTCCGGTAATTGGTAGGCGTGACGAGTGGACCATCCTAACTTTAGAGGTGACGCGACTAGTAATCTGAATATTCGAGGATAGTTCGTCACAGACATCATAAATCAAGAATTATTTTTTTGGAAATACTGTGATCTAAAAGTCATATGGAAATATAAGGCCACGTCGTAGACACATTCTTTCCCAGTCCGGAAAGACTGGGAAAACTACTTATATCTAATCTAAATCTAAACAAATGTAATCTATCTAAACTAATCTTTATTCTTTCACAGTCCGGAAAATTTGAGCAGATGCCAAGACGGCTCATGAATCGGTCAATATTGCCTTCTGGATCGAAAGACCTAATAATCAGTAATGTCTTCAGTTTAACGTCACAACTTCCATTCTTAATGGAAGTTGTGAGGTTATGTCATTCTTAAGACATAACCTGCCTCACCAATAAAAATCCGTCAAACAAAGAGGCCTCATTAAGCCATTCTCAATGGACCCAACTCTCAGACCTCATTCACTCTTGCCGACTCTCTAACACAAGTGTCTGTGCAGTGACTGCAGTCCGTCCAACCAACATCATCCATGCGGTTGTATCTGACTTAATCTGTTCCTCTGTTCGGAACTAACCTAGCGATAAAGAGCAGTGTATCTCTACGAATAATAGTTAAGTTTAGGTATGTTAGTTACCCCGTATCAGTATAATTGACATCATTCACAGGTTCTACATATTTAGTTTTTCTGAACACATTCTATTGTCTATGCAAAGCATAACTACAACCTTCAGGTGCTAATATTTTTTACACGAGATTCGTTACCGGAAAAAAAGAAATATCAGAGATTCCTACATGAAATATATATTTGACATACATTGCAACTCCATAATTTAATAGAAATAGTTAATAAGAATTGTCTCTTAGTCGACACATCTTCAATTGAACAATCGTTGTCTCCCGAAGTCTTGAACTGAGAGAAACTGATTACATTCCTCCTCGCAAACACGAGAATTACCATCGTATTAAACTGAATCTTTGAACTAAACGTGTGACCAATATTTGGTGTAATGTGTGGCTGAGAGACTAGGTGACGCAACAAGACGATTAGGAATCCGAATAGCGGGGCCCTAACAACCCAACACCCCTTAGCACCAGAGACCTTTGGAGGGACCCAGCTGCGATGGTGCGCTGGCTCCAGCCTCGGCTGGACCAGTGACGACGGGATCGGGCGCGGGGCAACAACTACAACAATCGGGCGACCGTGTCAAGCTGTAACGATAGGTACTATACTTCAAGCAACAACTTCTCGTACGTTAGAGTGCACCTGGCGTTCAACGCTTGGCAAGAGCACAGATCTCGCTGTCGCTACACGCAACCACTCGGTACCAGCCGATAAATTTCATACCACTGAAACAAATAAAGAACCTAATTTATATCGATCAACTCCTCTATTATTGACATGTTTAAATAGATAGCTCTTTCTAAATTTTCACTAAACCAACACTTGATTCATTGGGAACGTTCGAGTGAAATGAGGATCTTGCGAAAACACTGAAAGAAACTCAAAGTTTGCGGGAACTTTGAAAACAATTGATCGTACATAAAAATTAGGAATTACATTCATATAGCCGATTGAACGAAAAATTCAACAATTATTTACCAGAAATAGTCCATATTTCACGCAAACATAGACATTTCAGTTATTAAAATGAACTTGAATTTATTATCATCTAAGACACATGCAGTAGAATCTGATTCCAAATTTAGCAACTCGGAAGTTGTCGGGATCTTGCTTATCAAAATCGGTAGACGGACGCAGCAACATTGTTGAATGTACAAAAAAAAAGAGTGTGCATACTTCACCATTCCTCATACATTTTTGCATTATTATTTTTTTTATCATTCACACTAAGTGCATGACTACAGTAAATAAAGTTAAGGCTAGATGGTTTATACCTCATTTCATAGGGAAAATAATTATCTTATATAGAGAGATACTGATTATAATGTTGATTTTCTGAGTTTGAATCCATCATGTAAGGTAAAGTTTCGATAAAGACTAATCCTGACTTGAGTTCCAACAACTTATGAAATTCATCAGTATATTATATTCACCGCAGAAACAAATCGTACTCATTGAACACTTAAGTTTCACATATCTTGGCAAGAACATAGCTAGACTTAGCAAAGTCAAGTAACCGTAGAAAGCACAGCAGTGACCGAGCATCTGGAATCTGGAAAAACTTTCTCTGATTACACAGTTAATAAAGTTTATTGCTAGAGAAGCCCTAACCGAATATACATGGCGAAAGGCCTCAGTCTAAGCATAAAGAATTATCGTGCCTATTTCTGTTTGGGTCTCGGGAACTGAGTTTCCTTTGTCCTTCTAGCGGCGAGTCTGCAACTAGATGAACATGTCAACCTGACCCGAGGAGACTTCAGCTTACACATAGAATTATACTAACAATAAAATATAGAAGTATAAGCTTTCATAAATCCATGTTGGCCTATCCCCGATTCTACCAGGCCACCTTAACCAGAATTACCACAATAAGTTGCGGGTTTCGAGCCCCCAACTCGCTGCTTCCATCCTGGTGAACGCATAACTTCTGCTCTGACTGAAGAGCAGGCGCTACTGCCTTGACTGATAAGCAGGCGCTACTGCTCTGACTGAAGAGCAGGCGCTACTGCCCTGACTGATAAGCAGGCGCTACTGCTCTGACTGAAGAGCAGGCGCTANCTACTGCCTTGACTGAAGAGCAGGCGCTACTGCCCTGACTGAAGAGCAGGCGCTACTGCCCTGACTGAAGAGCAGGCGCTACTGCCTTGACTGAAAAGCAGGCGCTACTGCCTTGACTGAAGAGCAGGTGCTACTGCCTTGACTGAAGAGCAGGCGCTACTGCCTTGACTGAAAAGCAGGCGCTACTGCCTTGACTGAAGAGCAGGCGCTACTGCCTTGACTGAAGAGCAGGCGCTACTGCCTTGACTGAAGAGCAGCCGCTACTGCCTTGACTGAAGAGCTGGCGCTACTGCCTTGACTGAAGAGCAGGCGCTACTGCTCTGACTGAAGAGCAGGCGCTACTGCCTTGACTGAAGAGCAGGCGCTACTGCCCTGACTGAAGAGCAGGCGCTACTGCCCTGACTGAGGTGGCATTGACAGTCGCCGCAGTTCGCTCCTCTGATACTCCTGCTGCAGCTCCTCTTGGAACATCCTCTGCAGCAGAACTTCAACGCTGCGAACGCCTGAGAAAAAACAACGCATCTCAACATTAATAAACTAAGGAAAGATGTTTTGAGTGTAAAGATCGAGAGTTTAATATCATCAAGGGTTTATTGGAGCACTAAAGAAAAAGGTAATTTGAGTGACAGTTCAGAAGAAACGCAAACTAAAAAAATATATAGAAGCATTCTATAGCTACTAAAATCATTTTCATGCTCGTTGGTGAAGATGACCGACTCATTCTTTGCATGAAACTTTTTTAAAATGAGTAAGATGAGCGTTAAATTAACTCACCATAAAAGTAAACAGACAATTGAAACACTAACTAACAAAAGTGTCTGTTAATTGTCTGCTCAAGCGAGTGAAAGTTCAGAAATGAGATACGGATGTAAAATGCGTGCATTCATACGCAAGTAACTAAATTCAACCATGACATGAGAACTGAGTAGACGAATTTCAAGTAAATTTATATGAATTTTCACTATTTAGATGAATTTTTAACTGCTTCAGAGCAATAAAATTGTATTAAATCAACACAGTTCAGTTTTCATCACGTTTTTTCAGTGTTCATCAGCTCAGTCATCATTAGTGTTCATCCCAGTGTTCATCAACGATAATCATAACGCTAAGCTTATGATTCAGTCTAGACTGTTATGAATTCATTTTTTATTATTTTTATTCTTTATTCCTTCGACGTCGAAAATAATATTTTTTATCGTGGGTGCCGTTACATAATTTCTTTTTGACACTTGGCGTACCGGACGAAAAGTGAAGAAAAATAACGTCCATATGAAGCTTCCAGAAAAATATCCCGTTAATCTGTAGATTCAATTAATTCACACACATTAATCAATTATTTCAATCCATTGGCTGGCGCTGTCGCGTACAGCACTCACTCTTGGAGAGATGGAAGCGGACGGAGGTGTCGCATAGCAGGGATGTGAGGGCGGGCCCAGATGATGCGATGCACTCGCATTCTGCTCACAAAAATCGCGCAGTGAAGTGCAACATTTAATATGCGAGTGGCAATAGACCGTATAAAATTAGTGAATAAGAAATGACAGTTTAGTTTGTGAAATATTTTCGAGTATATAACAGAGGCTCATTTTCATACGATGGATGTTAGTTTATTAATATGTTTCAAATCTTTGGGTGGATAAATGGAATATCAGAGCAGTGAACTGGATATTTGAAACTCTTAACTTGTTCTGAACTCTTGGTCGCGACTGGCAAGGCGATCATGTGGTTATGAATCGACGACAGGCAAAAACGGCCTTATTAAAGCGACATCGCAATATTATGTTATTATAATAGAATTACCGTGCTCGTATTGTATATTACTTCCTGTAGAGTCCGTTGAATCCTCAGAAGTCTTCTGCGCAAAATCTGAGACTTGAGGATTGCTAGGATTTTCACAATCCTCTTCTTCAGAGCAATTCGCGGGACAAGAATTTTCATGGGTCTTAGTTGTATCAACGATAGTGAGAGCTGGTAGTGATGTTGCCGTATCGGAAGACAGCTTTGCGGGTATATAGGGAGTGATCGCCGTCGCTATGTCGGTGGATGTCTCGAAGGCATCGGTGACCGGCGAAGTTCCTTCGAGTAACGAAGTTGAGGCTAGTAGGTCCAAAGCATCGGACTCCGCTTGAGGTTCGATCACCGAAATCATAGACTTATCGACCGATAAAACAGAATCACAGTTAACTACTTCACTTTTATTTGAGACTTCCACCGAGATTCCATCCATCAAATTTGAAGCGTCAATGGCGCCGGAGCCAGCGATATTTTTCTCTCCTGAGTCAGTTTCATTCACGGGTATATTTAAATTATTTTCCGTTGATTTACCTTCAGGGCAATCTTTGGCACTAACCCAATTATTTTTATAAACAAAAACGGTACTATCTGGGAATGAATTTCCATCAAAATTAAACGAATTTTCCCGTTTTTTGAAAATTTGTCCAATATCGCTCTCTCTGAAATTTTCAGAGCTCTTGCGCACCACATTTTGCATAGAATTCCTTTGTGACGTCGGAGAATCTTTTTTGCATCGGTAAAAATCATCTTCTTCACCATCTGAATCCTGCATCACCAGCTCGTCATGACTTGTGGTTGAGAACTTCCTCTTCCGGCTGCGAAAAAAATATATAGCGGAATAAATGAAAAAGATTTAAGATCAAAGAAATGTTAAGGATTAAAGATTTGAAGTGTGGAGCCCTATTGGAAAGGGTTTACATTTTGCTAGCCATCAAGTGGCATTGTAGAGAATTGTTCACTTTAAGCCTGATTATTCTCCCATTGTAATCCTAAAACAACATAAACTCATCCACAAACTCTTCGATAAATTCGGGGATGAATTCATGTTTTAATTGAAGAAAAAATTTGCTTATAATAAATTTAATTCGTATTATTAGAGAAATATCAATCCTTTGTTTATAAGATAACTATTGCAACGCTATTAACCATTTAAGTATCATCCTAGCACATGAGCTGGTGAGATTCGGTATTGTAGACACGGTTGAAATAAAAGTGCGGTCGCCTCACCGAGTGTCGCTAAGGCCCAAGGCCAATATTTTGGTCTCAAGTTGCGTCTCCATGACGCCTTCACTCGCCGAGAACTCCAACAAGAACACTTCCAGCACGAACGCCGTGAACACGCTGAGGAACAGTACAGGTTGTAGAACAAGAACAACGACAAAACAAGTGAGTTTTTCACATCAGTCCTACAAGATTTTTAAATCATTCCTGTGAGTTTTTCAAACCGTTTCTGTGAGTCTTTAGCGCATTGTCTCATTTATGGAAAAAAGCACTATTGTTCTCGTCAAGTCCGTTCGTCTGTGACTTTCCGTCCGTGGATTCACGTCACGGACGGAGGAGAAAATGCGCTCTATGTTACTCACTGCAGTGAGTACTGATCTAATTTTTTATGACATTCCTGGTTTCTAAATTTATGAAGCTGATACTCCCTTTGAACTTTAGCCAATATTTTGGTCTCAAGTTGCGTCTCCATAACGCCTTCACTCGCCGAGAACTCCAACAAGAACACTTCCAGCACGAACGCCGTGAACACGCTAAGGAACAGTACAGGTAGTAGAATACGAGCAACGAGAAACACTTGAGCTTTTAACATCATTCCTGCCAGTTTTTAGCGCATTTTCTCATTTGTGAAATATGGCGCTATTGTGCTTGCCATGTCCGTCCAACTGTCTGTTTGTCTGTCCGTCCGTGACTTCACGTTTTCGTCGACGAGAAAATGCGCTTTCTGCGCTTTCTGTCACTGAGTTATATTTTTTAAATCATTCCAGCGAGTTTTTCAAACAATTTCTGTTAGTTTTTTAAGTCATTCCTGGCTTCTAAATTTATGAAGCTGATACTCCCTTTGAACTTTGGCCGTGTGAATTGTGTTTCAAAATTGCTGGTCTACTCTGTAATATACAATTAATTTTCGTTGAATTCAATAAATTTTTAAGAAGCTCGTTGACAACAATACGTTATGTTGTAAACAATACGTTACCAAAGTCGCAAATCATTTTACTTAGAAATTGATAACTGTATGGAAGTAAATCTGCAGTATGATTTGATTTCATCAAAAATTGACAACAGTAGGTCGTGATAAACATACGTGGAATAAAATCACGTGCCAAATTCGAGTTCAATGAAAAATGTTGTGTTCCAAAATTTTTCGTAAGGATAAAATGTTGAAGAGAATTGAAGCGGAGAAGTAACACATAATCATATTTCGTGAATAAACAAAGCACGAAGTATAAAACGATCCATTAATTTTTAGAGTTAATTCAAAATAATAAATTATTTATCAATAATTATTTTTAAGCAAAAATTCTGCGGTCGTAAATTTTGTAAATGCGTTTGAAAAAAATGGACAAATATTTCAGAATAGTAAAACGGTTATAAACGCTTCGAAACACAGTTAAATTCTTGGCTATGATGTATCAAAAAGTCCTGATATCTATTTTTATCAAATTAATTCGGAACCCTTAATAATTAATAACTAGAGAATAAAAAAATATCATTAATTTACTTCTGCATATCTTCTCACATTTCCTGACGAATATTTCCATATTATCAAGTCTAATTAAGGCAGAATGTGAACAAGTAATAAGTAATCGGAATAATATAATAAAATATAATGTAATAAGTTATAAAATAATAAGTTATAATATAATAAGTTGCAATATAATAAGTTACAGTATAATAAGTTATAATATAATAAGTAATTGAATTAATGTATGAATTAGATTCAATGAAGGAAGTTGCCGAGCGTGAGCTGACTTGAGCAGCAGCGTGACGCAGAGCATGTGGAAGAGCAGGAAGAATAGACGTGCTGATGGGTGAGTCACCGCTGAGAAACCGTAGGCCAAAAGTAATAGAAATTTGTTAAGGAAATTATTTTTTATTTATGTAGCACGATGTGGAAAGATCAAAAGCAATAAGTTTGACAGAGCTTCAGAAAAAAGTTATGCCGTTGCCTGGCAAGTTTCGGAAAATCAAAGTTCTTCTCGTGGAGTAAAGAACACCGTAATTCTAGTGTGTTTATGTATAATAAGTCGAGAAATTTAGTGGAGGCTCGAGTATTCCTTGTAGCTATCAAATTAAAAAAAAAGATGCAAATGCAAAACTCACTGTTAACCTTTTAATTACCTAAATAAAATTTTAAAATTAATTCAATGCCAGAACCTAGACTCTAAGCTTGATGAAAAATAAATGGAAAGACAGTTCGTTTCATATAATATAAGGATACGTTAGACACAGCTAGCTTTTGATCTTTTTTTGTCAAAACGCATAAAAAATTTTCATTCATGTATTTATCACGAATAAGAAAAATAAAAATCCATCACTTAATACTTATCCTGGCATACAACGCCAGGTTGACCTGCCGCACAAGCTCGTCACAAAACTTTAATTGTATTGGAAATGAGATGCCATTGGTTGACGGCGGTAAGCTCGAACAGTATAAATTAAGAAGGAATGCACGGCTTGTTTCTCTGTTAATTATGTTTGAAATAAAGGATATCATGCCATTGGTTGACGACAGTGAGCTCGAACAGTACGATGAAGGCATGCAAGACGTCATTGAAGTTGTTGTTGCAGTATTGCAGTCGCCAGAAGTCAGTTCCTTGAAGGGCCGGGTTGCCGCAGTACATGGGGAAGCCATGCGAGTTGTTGCTCGCAAGTTTATCATCGATGACGTTCACTTCATCCTTCGCCCGTATAAGTCCATGGAAAAGCTCCATGCCCGTGATGGCGAACACGTACATGAAAATCTGATTGGAGTTGAGTACTTAACACGTTGACCCCGATAGGGTTGCCGCAGTACATGGGGAAGCCATGCGAGTTGTTGCTCGCAAGTTTATCATCGATGACGTTCACTTCATCCTTCACCCGTATAAGTCCATGGAAAAGCTCCATGCCCGTGATGGCGAACACGTAAATGAAAATCTGATGGGAGTTGAGTACTTAACCGGTTGACTCCGATTGCTTCATCTTGTACTGTTATATCATTTCTGGTACTATTTTGAATTTATTATGTACCACTACGTCCTGAAGAAATACACTTCGTTGTATTCAAATATACCATTTAGGAGTCAGGGTGTTAAAGATGAAGATGGGCGATTTTTTTCTATAATGAAATTAGGAGCACGGGAAGTGATTGCAAGTGTTTTTCTGCCAATAAATTTGAGTGGCATTCATAAATTTTAGTCACTTATTTTTACTTTTCCACGATTTCGCTATGCTTTTAGTCAAAAGAGTAAAGGAAAACAGGCAATGTAATCAATGGAATTAAGAAATTACCTATATCGAGGAAAACAGCGTCCAGAGTTCTTTGAAAATAGAAAATAATCTTATTTTTAAGTTATTATTTTGAATAACAAATTTTTAGCGACTTTTTATTTTTAAAAGTATTTATATCTTAAGTATAACGCCCAACTGCAAAACGTGCTTCTCAGTTTATTAAAGTTCGTTTTTTAATTTTTTGTTGAATTGTGAACTTTTAGAGTTATAATGAGGGTTACATTAATAAATACTCCAGAAAATCGCTGCGTTTTTCGAAAAGGAATATGAATAAAAAATGTTATAAGCAAAATGTAATACTTTGCAACACACGCGATCACAGTCGTGTATTGAATCCTAAGTTTACGAATAAACTAACTGACGCCGAAAAAACTCGAACCTAACAGCGAGACCTCTAGACAAAGAGGTGATACTTTGTACACGATACATTAGCCGTTGTCATTGGTATTCAAATCTAAATTACAGGAGTGCCAGTAATTTATAAGGGCAGTAAAGGTTATGAAGATTTTTTCACGCCATGCAATACTTACCAGGATCATCTAAATTACGGGAGTAACTTATGAGGACGGTAAAGGTTACGAAGATTACTGCATACCATGCAATACCTACCAGGATCATCTAAATGACGGGAGTAATTTATAAGGGCAGTAAAAGTTACGAAGATCACTTCACACCATGCAATACCTACCAGGATCATCTAAATTACGGGAGTAACTTATAAGGGCAGTAAAGGTTACGAAGATCACTTCACACAATGCAATACCTACCAGGATCATCTAAATTACGGAAGTAGCTTATAAGGGCAGTAAAGGTTACGAAGGTTACTTCACACCATGCAATACCTACCAGGATCATCTAAATTACGGGAGTAACTTATAAAGGCAGTAAAGGTTACGAAATCATGAGAAAATGCACTTGGAGAAATTGATAGAATCTTGTCCAAATAGTGATGCACTTTTGTAATTACGTGGGTCATTTTGACCCAGTTTAGCCATTAAAAATGACGTATCTGTGCTACAGGCTGGAAGTATGTCACTATTTGGAGAGTGTGACCCACTTATTTACCTGAGTGTTGGCCCAATTTCTGATTATGAGTAGTATTTTGCGTCGTTTTGGTTCAGTGTGATAGCATGATTATGACTTGTGATTAATTTTAACCAGAATTGTATAGTCAAATAACTAATTTAAATTTTACTCCACTTGTTGTAAAAAAGGTTTATCCATGTGGTTGCATAATGTAAGAATTTTAAGATTGCACAATAGAAACTGGAAAACAAGATGCATGCATGTGAATGACGCGAGGTATAAATTGTAAAAAGTAAATATATTTTGAGGGATATATAATATTGTATTTATTTTGGAAAATGTTTTAAATTCAGGCATGAACTATAAAAATGTCAAGGATAAAAGTATGCTCTAAAAAGATGCAGTGAACCGCTTGGTAATTTACAAACTGGACCAAAAAGTTAATGAATCAATTTCTAAAGGTAGAGTTAAACATATAGTAAAACAAAATATATTGATATTTTTTAAATGATGTAGGCAAATAAGCTGATTAATGTAAAACATTATATATACGTTCTCTTAATTGCGAGAAAACGCTTTCTATCAGAATATTCGACTGAGATTGACGAATACTTAATTCATGACTGATGCTTAGTAAACTATCAGGGTATAAAAATTTTAGCTAATTTGCAATGTGTTAATAGATGACAACGAACAGCCTGATGAACAGAGCTGGGCAGCGCTACTTTGAAATATAGCGGCCGTTACCGCTACACCCACTAGATTGTACCGGACATGTAGCGCGCTTCTGCGACCTCTGATTATATCATATTATATTATTTAAAGCACAGATAATATCAATGCAAGCTATATTGTCTGACGTGTTCCAGGCCCGCCTGAAGTAGCGAGCAGGCCCGAGGGTGATGAGCTTGAGGAAGATCTCCAGCAGGAAGCTCACAAGGAAGCACCACTCCAGCGGCGCGTCCCACCACGATGCTTCGTCTGACACGCCTATCACCACGGCGTTCACCACCGTTAGACCGTCGAAGAAGTATACAAACCACCTGAAAAAACAGGTTATATAATCCAATACAAATTATAGTAACAAAAG